ATGTACTGTTGATATTTCTCAATAGCATGATGATTGCACCCACTTTCAATTTTAATTTATGACATGGCATTCTTGAAGGAGTAATACTATTAAGAAATTCGATGGGAAAATTTTCCTTTTCAGCATCATCTGTGGAATCAATGGAATCATCACTCAAATATGTGTGAAAATCTCCATCGAGTACATCTAAATTTTCTTCATTTAATTTTTGAACATGCTCATTTTTTGGACAAAGAATTGCATGTTTAGATATATTTTTAATATTATCTAGAGCAGTGGTTCTCAACCTTGCCTGCACATTAGAATCACCTGGGAATCTTTTTAAAATCCTGATTCCTGGGCCTCATCCTCCAAAATTGTTTCTTTGTTATGGGGTCGGGCCACAACATCAGTAACAAAGAAACAGAATTAAAACTTTATTGTGGGGAGCCGCTACAGTGTTTTGGACAGGTCAAGCCTTGGACTGATGAGAAGGCACAGTCCTCTCATTGCCATGTGCAAGTCCCAGCTTGGAGGGCAGGGCCCTCCCAGCACAATTATAGCCAACAGCTATAGTTGTAAGCTTGAACCTATGGTCCGAACATGTGGCCCCACGTGCCTGAGTGATGTAGGCTTGATAGAGTTCAGGTGCATATAGTTGAGTAGGATTGAAACCCAGGAGAATGTTGTAAACGTCTTGGTCACACCCTCACTTTGCCTCGTAGCATCTGCTATAAAGGCATGGCTGTGGGCATGGTCACTGTCTCTCAGAGAAGCAGCGTCCCACCGAGACCCGGCTTTCATTCTCTTGTTTATCTTTTCTAAGCCTTTCAGCTGCCCCAACTCAGGTTCACCCCTTTCCGTGCTGGCGCGGCACACTTTAGAAAGATATGCCTCCACGCTCCCAGAGCAGGTTCCTGCCCCAAACCCCACCCTTACAGGAAACAGCTCCGGGAAACAGCTCGGGGGAGGGCGCAGCTGTTGCCAAGACAACCCCTGCAGGACTGACTTCCTTCCACTTGGTCATGGCAGTTGTGATAGTGGTGAACACCACCCATGGTTTTTATATAAGTAGATTTTCACCAAGATGTTCAATATGTACCTCCAATTTACTACATCCAAAACTTAATACATTCAATACATCTCTAGTAATCCATCCACAAACCTGATTTACCCAGGTCTGTCCCATCTCAGGAGATAGCAACTCCTTTGTTCAGCTGTTTAGGTCCCAAGTTGTAACAGTCATCTTTGACATCTTTCTCCCACATCCCACTGAATACCTGATTTTTTTTTCATAAGAAGCTGGAAATCTGGGTTTCATGTGAAATTCCCCAATTTTTAAGCATTGACAACTCAAGAAAAACAAAACACCTAAGTGAGAGGAACAACAGAGGCCACTCATTCCACCTACCATTGCCCTGCTGTGAGAGGGAAGGCCAGCCAAACCCTGGGGCTGCTTGGTCTGGAGACCACCACGGTTGTTCTGAGCCCAGCAGAGGGATTTTAATTCATGCTGAGCTCCCAGAGGCCTACAGGCTCTTTGGAGAGTATAATGGCCTAAATGTTCAGGATAGTCTATTTCAGCTTAGAAGATCTGGACTGCAATTTTACATGAACTTGAAACAAAAAAGTAATGTAACTATATGCCTGAATTTTTAGCCCTTCTTAATTGTACAAAAAAAAAATGTAAGGAAAAAATGTTTCTAGAGATGGATCTCTGCAAAAACACAACAAAACAACCTACAAAAAATAAACAAAAAACCCCACCCAAAGCATTTTCTGGCAGAGGGGAGGGAAAATGAGTTCTCTGATCTGGTTTCAACATTACTAAACAGGTGGCCAAGGGCTGAGAGAAGGCATCGCTTGGAACAGTGTTACCACAGAACAATAGACCTGCTACCTGCAGGGGTGAGCTGCAAGGACACAGCACTGACAGGCTGCAGGCCAACTGACTAACGGTAGAGCTTCTCCCCAGTTCCCCATGCATCAGACACTCTATGACTATGCTAATAAACTAAGATTTCCAAAATGAGCTAGGAAGAGGGGACCATCCTAACCATTTTGGTAATTTAGATCTCAAACTGTTTTTCTGAGAAATGTATTTAGGAAATATTAAAAACAAAACAAAACTTGGGTTCCTGAGAGAGGGGTCAAGGTCTAGCAAACAAGTCTATCTTCCCCCTAAAAACTAACTGGGCTCCACCTGCTTGTTTTTGTCAAATAAAACAAATGTGTGCAGTGTCTGTGCAAATCAGACTATCAATGAAAAGGACAGTGTGCTCAGTTGGGTAGTAAGGTGAAAGTCAGATGGAATCCCAATAGTCGAAGGGGAACTGCTTGGCGCTGGGGACCATGTTACAAGAAAATCACGAATCTTTAAACGCTAGGATTACCCTGTTTGAGAAGTGAGACCAATTGGCAGGATGTCAGATTCTCATGTCTTCACATATTTATCCCAGGACGAGTGCTCACTCTGCAGAACTGAGTGGGATGGTGGGTAGAACTGCTCACACTATTTTTTTTAAAAAAATAATAATCCTTTCTTTTTTTAAAGAAGATATTTTTATTGATTTTAGAAAGGAAGGGAGAGAGAGATAGAAACATCAATGATAAGAGAGAATCATCGATCGACTGCCTCCTGCACACCCCCTCCTGGGGATTGAGCCCGCAACCCAGGCATGTGCCCTGGACCAGAATCAAACCAGGACCCTTCAGTCTGCAGGCCAACGCTCTATCCACTGAGCCAAACTGGCTAGAGCTGCTCACACTATTTTTTTAAATATATTTTTATTGATTTCAGAGAGAAAGGGAGAGAGATATAGAAGCATCAATGATGACCGAGAATCATTGACTGGCTGCCTCCTGCATGCCCCACACTGGGGATTAAGCCCATAACTAGGGCATGTGCACTAACTGGGAATTGAACCATGACCTCCTGGTTCATAGGTCGACATTCAATCACTGAGTCGCGTCGGCCTGGCTGCTCACACTATTAACGATTACTTCTCCTTCACACTCTCATCTTCTTGCTTGCTTAGCTGGATCTAGTCAAATTAAGCCATTACCCTATTACACACAAATTCAGTTCTAGGGGTCAGCTATCATGGTTTGCAGGAACATGGTTCAAACTGGCAGGGTTATGAGATAGTAAGGATTAAAATGAATCACGCCTACATTGTCAAGCAAGAGAGGTTTGTACTTCCTAAGGCCAAGGATTGAGAGGCAATTAATGCTTCTCTTATTCCATCCCTTGACAGTGATTCCTGTTCTGTTTGCTTTCCTCAAATCACAGTTGGTGTATTTGAGAGTTTGTCTGTATTATGCTAGAAAGGGGAGAGAATCAAGAGGCTGCAATATGTTAGAGACACATGCCAAGAGAACAGGTAGGGAGGAAAGCACACAACATACTTATAATTCTTATCTGGGGCTATGACAAAGTCTGCCCAGAAAACAACAGAACAGGAAACATTTCTTCCACAAAGTCCATGCTCACTCCTGTGGTGCTAGACTTACCGGGAGGACTTTGGCTAAGGAACCATGAAGAGCATGTTTTCTGCTCACTCAGGAA